TCCACCAAGTTGATAATCAGATGGGAGATTTGATTTAATTAAAGGTTGGTACAGAAAATATTTCCTTTCAGAAAGCAGAGTATGCTCTGTTAAGTCCCAGGAAGGGTATAAAATATTTCCCTAAGAGCTTTCTCCTTTTTTGCATATCTAGTCTGTCACCTGTTTGAGCATCCTAAATGTAAAATAAGAGAATTATTAGGTCAAGAAGAAATGGGCTTAAATTGCAGCAAGGGTAAACACTGGAATAAATTGCTTACGGAAGTTATGGCATCTCTAACACTGATATATTTAAGAGCAGGTTGGATAGATTCCTATCAGGGATGATATAAATGGTGCTTGGTCCTGCCATGAGGGTAGGGGAGTGGACTTGATGAACTCTCAAGGTCCCTTTCAGATCTAGTGTTGTATGATTCTGCTTTTAACTGAATCCCTATTTCGAATTTTGCTTTAAATACTAGTCACTTGCAGTGGGGGAAGGACCAGGTTTCAAAGTGTTTTATCCCTTGTGATAGGGTGCAAGTTGCTTAATCTCTCTGCCACAGCGTTTATAAAATAGTACCCTACAAGGATGGCATGAGGATAGTTTTGTGATATCTTCTGACACAGGAGCGATGGGGCCCATTAAATGATTTGGATGACATAGTCCAAACTTTACAAGCCAGGGCAAAATACTGGAAAAATAATTTTTCTGCTTCTGTCAATCTGGATACTTATTAGCTATTTTAAAAAATATGTTTTGGTGTTCTAGTGAAAGATGGGAGTGGGAGCCTAGGAACCCTCCTTTTGAAGGATGGAACTATTGAGTATATAAAGGGGTCACCCCTTTTTAGCTTGGTGTTAACTTCTACAGTCAATCTCGCAGATGTGTTTCTCAGTTCATGTGGGCAGGTACTGATAGATTGTAAACTCTTTAGAGTTCATGATACAGGCATCACTTACACACTAGTGGTATGACTGCACAGGATCATTTATTGCTCTTAAATAAAGAATAAATACAGGCTGTGATAAATGGCCAGCAGTGGAACAAGGTCCGTTTCCCCATAATATTCAGTACTGAAAAGGTTTATTTTTAACATGCCTGAAAATGTATGAAAAACTCTACTAGCTTCATCTTGAATAATATTACCTAATTTGGGTATGGCCTGCTGAGAACCTTTAATGAAAGTCTATTGAATTATGGAAATAGTTTCCAACTAATAAGGGTATTGTACATTGCTCTCTAAAGATCAAGTCTGGTCCCCTTGAAGTGAATGGGAATCGTGAAATTCTGTATCTAGGTTTAATGATTTCATTTAGCATTCTCCATTTGTGTTACACTGTGTTTGTGTTTAACATGAATTTTTTTTTTTAAGGAAATGCTATTTGTAACTGAATTAAGTCAATTTTTTATAGAGTCCAATCAGCTGCATTTTTGTAGGTGTTTGAAGCTAAGAAAGTTGCTCTGGGTTTATACCATTGTAACTGAGGGCCTGTAAAACGTACGAATGACTATAAAAAGAAGCTATGTAGAGATGTTTAAGAAAAACACTAATTGCATTAAGCTCGTATGTGTTGTGCTATAACTGTTTTCACATCCTGGGCCAAATCTTCAGCTGAGTAATTTTGGCATTTTTCCATTAAAGTAAATGGAGCTATGTTAATTGACACTAGCTAAGGATCTGACCCTGTTTCTTCTATGTTTAATATTTTATGTAATATAGGGTTGTTAGATTTTCCCCTTGGAGTTTGAGACCACATTTTAATAATATTAAGTATCATAACTTAGGGCGACCAAAAAAGAAACATGAATAAGAGCTCAATGTTTTCATGAGGAAGAGTATTTTTCCCTTTTGGGGATCATTTCAGAGCAAGTTTTGCTCAGGGGTGAATGCCGCCAATGGGAATAGTGGAAATATCTCAAATTTTGATATATTTTATGCAATTTTTGTCCAAACAGAAATTGCTCCTTTTCTACGAAATAACGAATAGAATTTGGTTAGCCTTGTAAAAGCTTAGAAGAATAGGTTCATACCCCCATTTTAGTAGGTGATAATTACTCCTTTCTAGTGCTTCCATAATATTTGTTGCTAAGGTAAGGACTCTGAAAAGTATCCTATACTGAGAGTGCTTAACATTGAGTACACCAGAGACAGCAGTGCTGATTCAATAAGTGCCTGATCTAAAGCCCAGTAAAGCCATTAGGAGTCAGGCTCCAGGTTACTTATGGTTACTTTGTGGCACAAAGTCTTGGAAGATTAATCCCGAAACATCAATACAACACAAGAAGGCCTGTATTGTGAAAGTTGCCTGTGGTAGCTGGGATGCTGGGAGTGAGTCACGGTGGAAATCAAACACAAGAAGGAAGTGAAATGTTTTATTCATGAACAGTTTCTTTTGGAAAACTAAATAAGGAAAAGCACAATATATGTTGTGGTGATAGAGTGCACTGTACAACATTTTATAAAGTTACTAGCACATGTACCTGGTGTTGCTTGGGTCATTAAGGAGAGCTCAGGGAGGGGGCTATGGTGGTGGGGGGAGTGCATAGTCAGGGTTGGGGACTGAGGAGGGGCTCTGGCCAGGGGACTGTGTGTGAAAGGAGTGGGGTAAGGAGGGAAAAGGGGGCCAACTCCCCTCCCTGAGCTTTGTATCATGGCTACTTGCTCTTTCCTTTCTGTCAGGGAGCAAGAGCAAAGGGCATAGCTTGCCTGTCCCTGTGCTCCTCAGCCAGAGTGAGGAATGCAGTTAACTGTGCACTTACCCCTCATTCCCTGCTGAAAGGGACCAGCCAGTAATGTCCCCGTATGAAGCAGGAGGTTGGGGGAAGTTTTAGCCCTCCCACCATTCCTAAAGGGTGCCTAGGGGATAGGAGGCTCAGGGCCAAGGCAGTTCCAAAGTGGGCGGGGGAGGACCCCCAAGCAGCCCCTTTCACCTGCCTAGAGATTATTTTTTTTTCCCCTGTATGTTTTTTTGAGAGACAATCCCATTCAAAGCACATCCCATTTTCCAGGCACAACCAAACCCTTACTTTGTTCTAAGATATGATAAGAGGAAATTGTATACCAAATTTAGTAGTCTTGGCTCTTACTGTTTAGGAGGGGTTTTTGGACAGAAACTCTCTCAAATATGTCCTAGACACCAGATGATGTTTGGCTGGGGAAAGGAATGCTAAATGTGCACCAGTATAAGACTCTTAATTGTTCACTTTTTTTTGGTATCTTACAAGTAGAACCTGCATTTTAGTGTGGCGTAACTATATATTGGGTAAGTTTTCTGTTTTACTGTACATCAGTACAATCATGTTAGCTAATATTAATTTTCTGTAACCTTGACTCTGAAAAAGTGAGCTATTTAGTCAGATACTGAAAACATGAAGTGATGATTCTAAAACTGATATTTTACAACCCTGATATTTTAGGATCATTTATAGGAGCATGTCTAAAATTAGTACCTGATTTGCCAGGATAACATAGCTATTGTAAATTTTTCATCAGGAACACTGAATTAGGAAAGAATGATTGTACAAGTTGCACCTCTGAAAATTGCACTCTGGTCTGGCAACATCCATGGTTCTTCTCCGAGTGATGTCCCCGTGGGTGCTCCACTACAGGTGTCGGGCTCGTCCCGGTGCCGCAAACCGGAAACTTCTTCATAGCAGTAGCTCCCTCCGGAGGACCGCGCGTGCGCAGTGTGTCCCGCGGCGTTCGCGCCCTTTTCTGCGTCGCGCGGTCCGACCCGCCAGTTCCTCCTAACCGTCCACGGCCACAGACGGATCTGGAACACGCTCCTCTCCTGATGAGAAATCGTTTAGTCAAAAATTAGATATATGTTCAGTTGTTTTTCCCAGTTAGCCCCTTCCCAACGTAGTATTAGTCAGTTTTATATTGTTAGTTAGTTAGATTGGTTAATTGTTTAAAAAACAAAAAAAAACAAAAAAAACAACCCTGTTACTTCAACCCCCTGTTTTAATCCCGGGGGTTACACCCGAACAGCCAACCATGCCCGGTTCTCCCGGGTTCAAGAAGTGCGCATCATGCGGCGAGGCTATGCCCGTGTCGGATGGCCACTCCCGCTGCATTCGCTGCCTAGGGGAGGGCCATATCCCTCAGAAGTGTGGCCATTGCGCCAAGCTAACGGCGCGCACGAGGCGTGACAGAGAGATGCGCCTTAAAATGCTCCTCTTCAACAAGGCTCTCCAGCCGCCGCCGACAACGGAGCGAGAGACCGAGGGTACGCACAAGACCAAAGAAAAGGCCTCCGCTTCGTCCAGGAGCCTAAGTGCGGCAGACTCGAGAGCCGCGTCGGGCCACCCACAGGCGATGGAAAAGCCTTCCAAAGCCCGTAGCACATCGGCGCCGAGCCCCGCACTCTCTGTGGCATCGGCCCCGCCAACCCGTCCGGAGTCGGCACCATCATCAGCGGCACCGAGCCTCCGAACGGCACCC